TCTGCCTGCCTCTCTGCCTACTTGTGATCTCTGTCTGTCAAATAAATAAATAAAATCTTAAAAAAAAAAAAAGAATTCATTCACATAAAGTAAGACGAGTCAGGTCAGATGTCCCATCTTGGCAAAATCAGAGACAAAATCCTGCTTCAGACAGGAGCAGAGACCAAAGCCGAGCAGGTAGCTTGTTTCCAGGAGTATGGAAAACAAAGTCGTAGGACCAGGTTGGAAATTAGCCGTCATGAAGCTATACCAGGCACACATAACCAAAAAGAAAGCAGGATCGGCCTAAGTTAGTATCCAACACAGTGGATTCTAAGGCCCAAAGCATTGAACAGGATGGAGAGGACCCCCTACAGTGATCACAGGTTGGAAAGCGGCTGCATAGTAATCCCGTCTAACCTCGGGGCGCCCACCACCACAATACCCAGCCCCAACAGGGGGCAGGAGAGATGAGTGGTTAAGGAGGAGGGCCCCGGGCCCAGAAGTTCCAGGTTCAAATCCTCACCCCACCAACTTATTAGCTGTGCAACATAGACATAGTCTCTCAGCCTCCCGTTTTGCATCTATAAAATGGGCTAATAGTCCTTTCTTTACATGTGAGAGGGAGAGTTACTACACGTGCAAAGTGAACAACAGTGACCCCAGGTAGAAAGGTTACCGTTTGTCACTCAACAAATAGTACCTGTCTTAATTATAAATGCCCCAGCAGTAAAAAGGGAACCTTAAGAGATTCCCCCAGGGAATTCTAGGGAGGAAGGTATGGGAGTTGGTGCACGGGGCAGGCCAACTCACTGAGCCTCGTGACTGGGGAAGCAAGGTGCCTGCCTCCCAGGGATAGTTGCCTGAGAACAGCACTCAGGACTCTGAAAGGCACAGGAGCCAACTTGGAGAGTGTGCCTTTGTCCTTCGAGGTGGGGCTGGGTTTGGGGCCTGGCTGGGACTGATGCATATCACCTGATCACAAAGTCTGGTGCTGACTCCCTGGGCCGCAGGTGACTCCCCTGCAGGGAAGGGAGTGGTCAGCCAGTGTCTGTAATACCTTGATACTCTCCCCTGGCCCTGGGTCAGCCCTGCAGGGTGAGGGGGTGGCCAGAGCCGATGCTCACACCCAGCACAGGTGAGGACAGTGAGCCACAGAGCCTGGGTTCCCTGTGAGCTTGGCCAGCTGCTGAGTGGCAGACTGAAAATTCAAATCTGCGTGACTCTCTGGCCCCAAGTCCAAAACCCCTGGGTCCCTCGCCATGCTGGGAGGTGTTTGCACAGGGAGGGGAGTGGGAGGGAGCCCGGCGGTGGCGGGGGAGACAACTGTTGTCAAGTGCAGGGAGCAGCAGGGGAGGGAGAGACACCAGCTGTGAGTTGGACAGATCCTGGGTTGTCCTCAGGGATGTCACCGTCTTACCCCACTGTTCATGCAGACCTGAGAACAAAGGTGCTCAGAGGCGCCTGCATACAGTAGGCACCTGTAAACGTTCTGTGTTCCCACCAGGAGGCTCCCATGCGGTCCTCTGAGCCAGAAGCCCCCACACTGCAGATCTCTGAGGCATCTGGGTGACGGTCCTCCTTTTTCCCTCCAGGTGTGGCAGGTGTGCTCGTGGGACACCCATTTGACACGGTCAAGGTGAGTGTCTTGTCCCGGTTTTACTCTCAGGTCTTTGTGGAGGCGCAGACGTTACACAGAGGCCTGAAGGGCTGGGGCGGCTGGAGGCCCCTTTCCAGTGACCAGGGAACCCCTGCGAGGTCTTCCCAGAGGTTCTGGAATAAAGGTAGACTTAGGGTTCTGTGACACCCAGGTGGACGGCAGCGTGTCCGCTTTCCTTCTGGGTCTGGCCTTACACCTCCCAGCTCAGAGCTAAACTTGGAGGTCCACGGTGAGCCCTGAGCCTGAGAGGCCGAAGGACAGGCTTCCCCTTGCCCAGAGCGGGGGCTCCTCCCTGCAGAAGCCCTCCAGACATCTTGAAAGAAAGAACATTTCAGAGAGAAAATACAGAAGGACGGAAGAACCGGAACTTGCCAGCATTGCCCATGAACATGATCTCTGAATGGTGATCCCCACTGGCGTGAAACTGAGCCATCGGTTCCCAGGGGCTGGTGTGCACGCGCGTGGAGTTCACGGCTCCAGCGTGTGGCCCGGGGTGGGCGCTCCTTCGGTGGCTCCTCCTCCGTAAACTGTCCAGATCCGGGTTCTCAGAGGCTCGCAGTGGAAACAAAGGAGTCCATGTTGTCCAGCTGCAAATTCCCAAATAGAATGTTCTCCCTGTGGTTGGGGTTTTAAGTCCTGAAACGAGCCACGTCTGGAGTTTTCCTTACAGGCTTCCCCCCGGGGAATCAGGGCGAGCTGTAAGCAGCCGGACACAGGCCAGACCCCGTGACCCACTGTAAACACTGAACTTGGCAGTGCCTACTGGAGACAGCGAAGGCAAGGATGTCAGCCCGAGCTGAGTTTGAGGTCACTTCCTGTCCCCTCTTTTTCCCGTGGAAGTCAGGTGGTCCTTGGGCAAGGAAAGGACTCGGGACCTCAGGGCTGGGGTTGCCTTCAGCGCGGGCATGAGGGCCTGGCTTGATGTTTTGGCTCTGACCTGCACATGTTCTGTGTGAGGCCTTATGCGGGCCCAGGCCCCCTGCTAGCCCATCCGCGGTGTAACCCTGGGCAGCTGCTTTACCTCAGGGCCCAGGCTTCTCGTCTGCCAAGTGAGGCGCTGGGCAGGATTACAGAGGCCCTTGTGATGCTGGGCTTACACGGAATACTGGTTCTGCAGAGCACAAATCTCTCCCATCACCTGCAATTTCGGGAGAAGGCTGAAGGACCAGGCTTTCTTGCCACACGGCAGCCCGTGTCCCCCCAGAGCCTGCTGAGAAACCTGTCTGCACAGCTGCTTGGGCACAGCTGCCTGGGCAGCCCATGAAGCCCGCCCCCAGGCCAAAGCAGCCCGGCCCGGCACCGGCCCCCACTCCGCTGTGCTTATAGCTTGTGGTCACATGTCGTAAATGCCTCTGTATCCGGCCAAGAAGGGGCTCTGGATTCACTTCGTTAACCCCGCATGACAGGGGCCATGCCTCTCTGAGCTGCGACTCAGCCCTCTGCTAGCCCCGCTCCCACTCCCCCTCCTCAGTGCCTCCAGGCTGGGGAGGACTCTGTCCTGGAGTCCCTGGCCACTCTGAGCTCCTGGGCCATGGCCACAGCCCCAGCACTGACAGAGGGAGGGGGGCGGAGCCTCTCCACCCCACAGGGCTCCTGCCCCTTGGACACCCCTGCCCCGCCCTTACCTCGCCCACGGATGGTGATCTTTGAAGAAATCCACTGGTGACTTCTTTTGGCCACTGCATTCCACCAGCATGACATCTGGGCAAACCTGTCTTTATAAACCAGGGTTCTTACAAATAGGAAAAAACCTGCCCCCAAGAATCCCCTCTGTCACCCAGCTTGTGAGCCCTCTCACTGTGCTGATCAGGGAACATGCTCCTTTGGTTTAACTTAATGCTATGTCACCAATGGCCTTATTTTTATTTTTTCAGATTTTATTTACTTATTTGAAAGAGAGAGGACAAGCAGGGGGAGCAGGAGAGGGAGCAGGCTCCCCGCTGAGCAGAGAGCGGATGCAGGGCTCGAGCCCAGGATGTTGGGCTCACAACCTGAGCCAAAGGCAGAAGCTTAACCGACTGAGCCACGCAGGCGCCCTCCGCAATGGCCTTAATTTTTACTGGCTCTTTTCCAGGTAGAAGAGCACCTTTTCTTCATACTGACAAGTCGTGTTTCCCATTCTGTACACTTCCTCCAGGATCCCCCGCCACCATTGTGCCTGCCAGGGGCATGTGATATTTTTTTTTAAATGAATTTCATCATCAGGCCTGTACACAGTTCTTTGGTTGGCTTTCTAGTACAAAAGTAACATATGTTGTGAAGAAATTTTTAACCATTATAGAGACATATAAACTAAAAAGAAAAAAAAAACAGTCCTTCATAGATCCTCTTCCCCAATCCTTAGTGATTTTTTTTTTTAGATTATTTGACACAGAGAGAGCACAAGTAGGGGGAGGGGTAAACAGAGGGAAAGGGAGAACCAGACTCCCCGCTGAGCAGGGAGCCCGATGCGGGGCTCGATCTGAGGACCCTGGGATCATGACCTGAGCTGAAGGCAGACGCTTAACCCAGTGAGCTACCCAGGAGCCCCCTCATTAGTGATTTCTGCTGAAAAACAGAAATGTACACAGACCCACATATATTCCTTGTGCTTGGCAAAAGTGGGATTTACTTCAGTAGCTCTGCTGTTGTTTTAACTGAAATCTGACACAGAAAAGTGCCCGCATGCCAAGTGTGTGAGTCAGTAATCATCGCGAAGCACATGTCTGGGGAGAGAACAGGGTCCCCAGGAGGCCCCCCCATCCCTGTCCTCCTCGCAGCCCCTCCCCCTTCTGCCTGGGACCGGACAGTAAGCAGGGTCATTGAGTGTAAAACTACTCTCACCCGGGAGTGGCCATCCCAGGGCAGGGGAGGGGCTGGGCCCTGGGGGCTCTGTGCCTGGATGTGATGTTGACATTTTATGTTCCTAGGGGCTCTCTGCACGGGGAGCAAAAGTGTGACTTTGCTGTAGACAAGCATAAGCCTCACCCTGGAGAGCTAGTCAGTATAGACCCGGGGAACCCGGCTCTTCTCTGTCCCTGCTGATCCAGACCCCGGGCCTGAGCCACACCCCGCCACACCTCTCCTCCTCCTGACTGGCAGGGGACAGGGAGGGCGTGAGGTGAGCTAGGGTCCTGCACGGGTCCTGGGGTGGGCACCCAGGTGGGGCTGGTGAAGAAAAATCAGCTCCTTCCGGACCAGAGGGTCTTCATGTCAGGGGTCTCAGCCGGTGGAGAGCTGGGAGCTACGGAGACCACGAGCCACCATCCACGTGTCCCGCAGTCGTGGTTTCTGCTCCCACGGCCCGTTTAGTGACTGCATGAGCAGGAGAAATGTCCCACCAGAAACCCCACAACATGGGAGGGAAGTGAAAAACCTCACATGGCGAAAACAACTGGAGCAGAGCTCAAGGGGGTAACAGGTTATGAAGTCTTAAGGTGTTAATATGTTACGAACACGTTGCTCAAGTCCTTTTGTTTTTCTCCATTGAACATGCACCCCTCCCCCACCAGATCCTGGCCAAGCGGGCAGCCAGGGTGGGACGGGGCGCTGGGGTGACCCGCTGCAGGGTGTGCTTCCTTGTCAGCCGCTTCGCAGAGCAGGGGCTGCCAGCTGCAGAGGTCCTTGGTGCTTTTTTGTGCTTCAAAAGCATTCTTCTGTAAGTGCATCTGGCAGAAGGCTCCTGCCTGCCAGCTCCCCTCCCCACTCTGGCCCCGACCGACACAGCTAGGCCACTCCCGTTACTGGAGAGGACAGGCAGCCCCCGCTGAGGTGCAAAACCTCTCTGAGCCTCCAGTGTTCCCATCTTTGAGGGGGGGGGGTAACTCCACCCATCTCGGCTGGTGATTCCCGGGTTAGGCCCTCCGGTGCTGCCAGCCGCGGAGGGGTGTTCGTGCTGTGGCCCTGGCTGTGGTCGCGATTTCCTAGTCGGCCCCTGGGAACAGGACTTAACCCAGCTCACCCCCCATCCGCGTGACCTGGATTCTGAGGCCCACCGTGAGGCCGGGCTGTCTGTCGCAGAGATAAGCTCTCTGTCAACAAAGAGGACTTTCACAGTAGGAGGTTCTGGACTACAGGGCTCCAAGGGCAGCTGGGCATGAACCCCCAGGTCTCGAAGGTGGTGACATGGTCACAGAGGAGGCGATGAGCTGCTCTCCTGTCGCTGCTTTAACTCAGGACCGCTGTCCTCACACTGTCTACTGGCAGAAGGCAGGAGTCCCTCGGAGTCCAACGCTCACTGCTTTTATTTTATTTTATTTTTTTTTTAAGATTTTATTTATTTATTTGTCAGAGAGAGAGAGGGAGAGCGAGCGAGCACAGGCAGACAGAATGGCAGGCAGAGGCAGAGGGAGAAGCAGGCTCCCCGACGAGCAAGGAGCCCGATGTGGGACTCGATCCCAGGACGCTGGGATCATGACCCGAGCCGAAGGCAGCTGCCCAACCAACTGAGCCACCCAGGCGTCCCCGCTCACTGCTTTTAACACCCACTGTGGCACTGTTGGACCCCAAGGGGAGCTGGGTGATGGGAATTATGTAGGGAGCCCCCCCCCCCCCCGGCATCGGCCACAGTTTGCCACCAGGACAGTGGGGAGGTCTGGGAAAATGCTTCATGTCCCAGTGTCCACACATCGTGCAGACATAATGCAGCGAGAAGCTTAGCCTCTGCCTGTCTGAGATCTTGGGGACCCTCTACCCACTCTGCAGCTGGCTGTCTCTGTGGCCGTTTGCCCACTGATACCCTCCCTAAGGAGGCACAGACACCCGGCCCTAGCCCCATCCTGGACTTCAAAAGCCACAGAAAGCTCCTTGGCTCCCTGCCTCCAGCGTCCAGCCTTGGGCCTCCCCGAGGGAGCCTCCCTGGGCTGTCCTGAGTGCTGGGGCAAGGGGTCGGGAGCTCTGGCTCGGCTTGCTGCCTTTCACGGGGTCCTGTCCCTGCAGGTGCGGCTTCAGGTGCATAGCCCGGAGAAGCCTCAGTACCGAGGGACCCTGCACTGCTTCCAGTCGATCATCAAGCAGGAGAGTGTGAGTGGCCTGGGCCCAGGGGGTTGGCGGTGGGGAACCAGCTTCTCGAATGCTTTCGGCCTGAAAAAAGAAGGCGGAGGGAGAGTCTGGGCACAACGGGGACTTGGGAAAGGGGAAGGTGCGAACGCCCAGGCCTCGCTGTTGAGGACATGGCTCCTGGGAGAATTCTGCTTGGTCCTCCGGAATGCGTGGGGGTGGGCTGGGGCTGAGCACGCGGGGGTCGCAGAGGGGAGGAGGGCCGGGCAGCTGGAGCAGGAGCGCGCCTGACGCGCGCGTGTGCCCCCCGCTTCCCCCCGCAGGTGCTGGGCCTGTACAAGGGCCTGGGCTCGCCCCTCATGGGCCTCACCTTCATCAACGCGCTGGTGTTCGGCGTGCAGGGCAACACCCTGCGGGCGCTGGGCCAGGACACGCCGCTGCACCAGTTCCTGGCGGGCGCGGCGGCGGGCGCCATCCAGTGCGTCATCTGCTGCCCCATGGAGCTGGCCAAGACGCGGCTGCAGCTGCAGGACGCGGGCCCCGCGCGCCCCTACCGCGGCTCGCTGCACTGCCTGGCGCACATCTACCGGCGCGAGGGCCTGCGCGGCGTGAACCGGGGCATGGGCTCCACGCTGCTGCGCGAGACCCCCAGCTTCGGCGTCTACTTCCTGGCGTACGACGTGCTGACGCGCGCGCTCGGCTGCGAGCCCGGCGAGCCGCTGCTCGTGCCCAAGCTGCTGCTGGCGGGCGGCACGTCGGGCATCCTGTCCTGGCTGTCCACCTACCCCGTGGACGTGGTCAAGTCGCGGCTGCAGGCCGACGGGCTGCGCGGCGCCCCGCGCTACGGCGGCTTCGTGGACTGCGTGCGCCAGAGCTACCGGGCCGAGGGCTGGCGCGTGTTCACGCGCGGCCTGGCCTCCACGCTGCTGCGCGCCTTCCCCGTCAACGCCGCCACCTTCGCCACCGTCACCGTGGTGCTCACGTACGCGCGCGGCCCCGAGGCCCGGCCGGACGGCGACGCCGCGCCCGCCGCTCCGTCGGGGCCTGGCCTGGCGCAGCCCTCCAGCCTGTGAGACGGGCGCCAGGGTCGCCAGCGGGCCTGGGCTGCCTGCCACGTGCGGGGGGGGGGGGGTGGGGGGGGGGGAGGCGGGGGCGCCCTTGGCCGCGCCCTTGACGTCCGCGGCGGTCTCCGCCCGGAGACAGGAAGCCTCCTGCCCGCACTGTATGGTCACCGAGCTCCGAGAGGACGGCGTGTCAGCGCGGAGCCTGGCGCTGTCACTTGGGGTCTCCGGGAGTCGCCACCGACGCTCCAGCCCTTGCCTGGGATCCTGGCCGCCGCCACCGCGGGGTCTTCGATGCTGCACCGATGGGCCATCCAGCGGCTAACCTCACATCATCCCCCTGGCAGAGCTCTGGGGGCACTCCTCGGCCACCTGTCCGGTCTCTGTATTAGGGACGGAGAGGCAGCTCCGGGTGCCTCCTGGTGTCCCAGAACCCAGCACTCCGCTGATGCACTCCAGCTTCTCCACGTGGCACAGAGGGGAGTGCCCCTGCTGGTGACCCCGTAGTAGCCTAGGGGCTGGGATGGGGGACCGGGCAGGGGCCGGGATGGGGACCGGGCAGGGGCCAGGGGGAGGGAAGCTCCGCGGTGAAATCCAGCTGCGGGAGGGGAAGGCTGGTCGCCCCGCCGTCCTCAGGCTGCCCTTCTGTAAAATGGGGACATTGGTCAGCCACTGTGTGGGGCTCTGGCCGCTGGTTGGGGTTCCCTGAGCTGAGCTTGTGTCTCTTCGACATGGGCACAGGAGGACCGCCACTCCCCAGCAAATGGTGTCTCTCCCAGGGAGTCTCCTCATGCTTGGTGTTCCCATGAGGCCACGAGGGAAGGGCCTATTAGTGGACACGGTACAGGTACAGCGTGGCCGTGTATTTGCACAGGGAGGCGGATACTTTTGCACAAGTTGGAGGTGACTGTGGCCTCCTTTGCCCTGAGCGGGGCTCAGCCTGTTGGGCAGTGGGAGGGAGACTGGGGTCAAGGAAGACAAGACTCCTACCCTATTCACGTGGTGTCGTTGTGTAGAACCCGCTGAAGGAATAAAATATTCTTTGTTTTCTTAAGAGTGAAGCCTTGTTTGTGTCCATTCCCCACCCCCTTCCTGGAGTCAGAGGGGCCGGCTTGGGGGTTTGTGCTCTCTGGCCCGATGGCAGCCAGAAGTGTGTGACCTGGGCACGTGCCAGCGTCTGTCCACGCCCTCAGTTTCCTCATCTGCAAAATGGGGCTGACGTAGGCATGAGGATGAGGGGAGTAAGCTCACAAAAGTGCTGGGCAAAGTGTTAGCCGTTCGGCACATGCTCCTCAGATGTCTGTGGTTTCCTAGGAGTGGGAGGCCTGGGCCCTGCTCATCCTTCACCTGGGCAGGCCAGACAGGGTGTGCTGTGAGCTTTTTGGGGTACGGAGGTATGGTCAGGGCACAGAGGGGACACTTGCTGAGGCTGGAAGGGGAGGTCTAAGCGGAGCTCTCAGAGGTGAGTGGATCTTTTTTTATATGAGATTAGACCTAATCCAGCCTAAGAGGTCCTGGAGGGCTTCCTGGAGGAGACTTCGTTTGCCAAAGGGGTGTCTCACTGTGTGCCCACCCTCACTGCTGCTCACCTTCCTGGAGGCAGTGCCCCACGGGGCGTCTCCATAGCTGCGGGCCTGGAGTCTCTTTCCTTCACAACTCCCACTTTAAGGGAGGGCAGGAGAGGGGGAGCCCCCAGCTCTCCAAGAAGGGCGCCGGCTCTCCTGTGTCTTTGCCTCACCCCACCCAGCCTAATGCCCTGCATCAGCCTGTGACATCAAGCTTGTCTGCAGAAGCCGGCTGGTGACCCCAGGGTCCCCTCCCTGGAGTCCCAGGGAACAGCTCCTCCACCTGCGGAGATTCCCCCCCACCCCCATCTCTCTCACTTCTTCCTCTGAAAGAGACCTGGCAAATGCCCCCACTCCCGCCCCAGGTGCTGGTGGCGGAACATTCCCAGCGAATCAGGCAGGAAGGATCGGGAGAGCTGTGGGGTTTTTTGGTTTTTTTTTTTTAAGATTTAATTTATTTATCAGATGGAGATCACAAGTAGGCAGAGAGGCAGGCAGAGAGAGGTGGGGGGAAGCAGGCTTCCTGCCGAGCAGAGAGCCCGATGCCCCAGGACCCTGGGATCATGACCTGAGCCGAAGGCAGAGGCTTTAACCCACTGAGCCACCCAGGCGCCCCGAGCTGTGCGTTTTTTAATGAATTGGGACATCTTATTTTCTCCCTGATTGGAATTTATGTTTATTTGGAATAAGTAATATATAAATGTGTTTAAAAAAAAAAAAAACCTACAAATATACACGAATGCAGGCGGGACAGGTTCCCACCTCCCTGGTGGGTCGTTTCCGGGGCGAGGGGCGCTGACAGCTCTGTTCTGCGCTTTTGACCGTGAACTTTCAGGAGTTCCCCGAGCCGCCATGACCAGATCCCGCACGCCGGTGGTGCAACCTGACGTTAATTCTCTTGAAGGTCTGAGGCCAGGAGTGTGGGATCCCGTGGCAGTAGTGGCTGGTGGACCTTGGCTGGGAGACATCGTGCTCCAGACTGCCCCTCCGTCTGCACTCGGCCGCCCGCTTGGACGCCCGTGTCTCCTGCTGTTATCAGGACACCATCACTGGCACATGGCCAGGGCCTCCTCCAGTATGATCTCAGCTTGAGGACATCTGCAAAGACCCTGTACCTGGGCTGAGGACTTCAGCCTTTCTGGGGGACACAGTCCAACTCACAACAGTGACCTTCTCCCTGATGAGTGGGTTCTAGTTGGCCACGGTTTTGTTAATAGTCCTATGGGGTCTCTCCAGATAAGCGCTCCTTACTGTATTTACCCCGCCAGGCTCGGGACAGTCCTCTCGGAGGTATCTGAATTCTCAGTGGGGCCGCAGCCCACGGGGCCACAGCGGGGACAGTGGGGCTGGAGCCCTGGGATCAGATGGAGCTGAGTCCCATGGGCGGAGGCCGGAGGAGGGAAGGGCGGTGCAGGTCGTGGCAGGGGCGATGAGGTTGGAGAGGGCCACCGGGCCAGGTCACATAGCAGTGCGGAGCCTCCTAGGTGTCCTTTCCTGATGGGACCCAGAATGTTCTGGGCTTCAGCGCGTCTGGATGAGAATACCCTTCCAGACTCCCTTGCAGCTGGAGGAGGCCACGTGTCCCAGGTCTGGGCAGGGAAAGCAGTGGCTGAGGCTTCTGAGAAAGGTTTGTAAGAGGGACAAATGCCCCACAGCACATCCCGTGACTTCTGACCCAAGGAAATGGGGCTGGGACGCCCGCAGGGACGGTGAAGGCAGAGGCAGCCCTGGGCCAGCCTGGTCTTCTTCCTCGGGGTCTCTGCCATGCATCATGGCCACATCCAGAAGTCTGCTGGTGTCCCCCCCCCCGGGGGGGGTAGTAGGCTCTGGTTCGTGCCTTAGAGACCCCACAGGAGGCCACAGTGGTGAGAAGAGGAGGCCTGGGTGCCGGGGGGATGGTTCTGAACCAAAGGGCATCTCATGGCTGGGAAGGGAGGGCTCCAGCCACAGGCAGGCCAGAGGACACAGGAAGAAATGGTGATGGATGAAACCACCCCCCCCGTGGCAGTTTGAGGGAAACTGAGTCAACAGAGACTGTTTTCCCCCAACTGCTCCCGTGCTGGAGGCCAGCCATGGGAGGAAGTTCCGGCCACCTCCTCTGGTGCACACACAGGGATTGACTGCCCTTTTTTCCCCCTCTGGGCCCCTGGTGCAAGTACGGACTATGGCATCGTCCCGTTCAGCCCCCTCTCCTCACTGGCCACTTTCAAGGAGCTATGCAGCGGCACCCAGAAATCAAGAGCCCCTCGTCCCAGAGCGGGGCCTTCTGAGCCACCTGTAGCCGGCAGGTTCTGCGAGTGAGGACAGCTCAGGCAGCCTCCACTCCCCACCTCAGCCCTCCATTTGCAGCACCAGCCGGGGTGGGGGGGAGGGGTTTGCACAGCCCTCGCCACACCCCTGCTGCGGACTTCAAGGTGCATCTGCTGGGCCGTCCTTCCCCCTGCAGCAGGAGTGTCAGGAGAGCCAGGATCGGCCTGGGAAACTTGGACAGGACTGGGACCCTGGGTGCTCCTTGGTTTCTGCTTCCTTTCGACAATGGCCCCCTACCCTGACCTCCTGGCACCCACCCACCCTGGGGCTGGTGGTTCTGGTGTCCACCGTGTCCCGGGCACACCAGAGAAGGGGCAGTGGCTGACAGCCCAGCCTGTGGGGACACTGACTCCCACCCTGCCCTGGCCTCACTCTCCCGGTCCAGCCGACATCACTCAGGCTATGATGATCAGTCTTCCTTCAAGGAAGCCCCCCGCCCCCGCCGCCCCGCAAGGCCACAGTGCTTCCATAGTTTCCATGAAAGTGCCACCAAATGGGAAGCCTGGCAAAACCTCTGCCAAGCTGCGTCTCGTCCCTGGAGCCCCCTCGCTGTGTCACCACCATGTGGTTCTCAAGGGTTGGGAGGCTCCTTGGCCTGGTGGGCAGACCCTGAAAGCCTCCCTGGGGACATCCGAGCAGGTTTGGGCAGCAAAGTGGGCAGGACTAATACCTGAGTGTATGGTGGGGAGGTGGTGAGGGAGGAGGGAGGGGGCCATCAGGACAGGCCCCACGGGAATTCTGGTTGGAATGTCGTGGGAACATTCACTACGATGGGAACACAGGACAGGGAGCACACGTGGAGGGACCTGCTGGGGCACGGGGGTTTAGCGAATGCGTGAGAGGGTGGATGGATAGGGGCAAAAGCTGTGGGGTACAGGGCCCCGTGGGGTTCTGCCAGGCAAGTCAGAGGGGCAGGGGCGAGGTAGGAGGAAGTGAAGCCAGGACAAGGGGCTTGGAGGACAGTATTAGGTTTGGGGAGCCCAGGTTGAGGCTGCGGTTAGACCCTGGGGAGGCAGGAGGAGCAGAGCGCAGGACCTCAGGGCAGAGACTACAGTGGGCAGGTGTCCGGGAAGACAAGGTTTGGGAGCCCCTATGGCCAACGCAGGCTGTGGTGGGGTCCCCATGAGGAGGCCAAAGAAAGCCTGGTCAGATGGAGGTGGCCCATCCCTGGGGCCAGATG